CATTAAATCAAAAATATTAAGTTAGTCTTACCAAAAGAATGCCCAAAGATCATTCTCTTTTAGGCTGAGTTTGTAGTTTTATAACCTTTGTGCCAAACCCTGACACCGCAGCGTGTTTAGCAAATATGAAACTGACTAGTAAATCCAGTAGTAAATCCAGCATACATAAAATGTATGCTGACAATTTTGAGAACATTTTTATCCTACCAAAAATGTTTAAATCAGATTATTTATTAAAGATTTACTTAAGTAATGTGGACTCAAGAGCATTGGGGTTAATTACCACATATTTTATATGAGCACCCATTTATTTAAGTCAATCTAAACAGAATTCCTTAAGGGATTTCTGGTTGACTATGTCAGATTTTACCATGTAAACACAACATGACACTTGTACGTATGTGTAAACACACCTAAACATATGCATATACACACACAAAGATTTTATAGCTTACATTTTAGAATGTTAGTCATAAGACAATGAAACATACAAACTAACCAGTTAATTAAAGACCTGGTATGACCAGACACAGTGGCTCATGCCTATAATCCCAGCACTGTGGGAGGCCAAGGTGGGCAGATCTCTTGAGTTCAGAAGTTTGAGACCACCTTGGCCAACATGACAAAACCTCATCTATACCAAAAATACAAAAAAACTCGATGGGTGTGGTGGTGCAGGCCTGTATTCCCAGCTACTCGGGAAGCTGAGATGGGAGGATCACTTGAACTTGGGAAGTGGAGGTTGCAGTGAGCCAAGATCATGCCACTGCACTCCAGGCTGGGTGACAGAGTGAGACCCCATCTCAAAAATAAATAAATAATCTACTTAATTTAATTAAAATAAAATTTGAAAACATAAAAAATAAAAGCCTATTGAATAAAAATTATATTTCTGACAAAATTGGTAACTGTTAACATGGCTAAACTTTATTTGCTCCTATCAGTAATCTAATGAGAGCTGATAAAAATTTTGAGTAAAACTTTTTATAGCAGTTTGATTTTTAGCAACTTCTTTTACGCTTTTTTGAATTTTTTTCAGGTTTGAATGAATTGAGTTAAATTTTCAATGTTTAGATTTAGCTACGACTGGTTGAATTATGTAATAAAAACAGAATCTCCAAGCAGCCCTGACTGTATCTTTTGTTTGACAGTCTGTTTTTTTGAAGGGGAAGGAAAGCATTATAGCAGTTTTATAGTATTGGATTTTCCTTTTCTTTTTTCTGTTTTTTTTTTCATCCCTTTATGTCAGACAAAGCAAAAATTTTATACCAGACTGAGATATATTATTGCTCTGAGTTCAAGATTTTGACCTGTTTAATCTGACAGCCTAACTTTTGTAAACATTTACCTAGTCCTTTCTTTAGACTATTCATGTTTTAATTAACTGCTCCCTCACTCTAATGGTTAGACAAACCTAAATTTACATTTCCAAAAAATGTCTAGGTTGTGGGTTACCATGGAGCTTTTGTAATTTGTAAAGCCATTACTTTGAAAACCCTTTAACACTTTTTAAGCAAATCTTGGCTGGAATACCATAAGCAGTGAACTTATCTCAATACCAGCAGAAAAGTCTGAAGATCTGAAGCATATAGAATAAAACAGAGATAGAAACAGAACTTAGAACATTCTACATGTTAACTCTATATTGGCAAAGTTTTTTAGAGAGTTTGAATAATGACTATTTGGCTCTGAACTTTCCTTGATGGACTTTGCCCATCAGTTTAAAATGTGCACAGAAATGGGCTATAATAAGTAGTTGGCTGGAATCCCAGAAAATCTGGCATGCCTTAATGCTTGAGAATCCCATGCCTTTTGTATTTAATCTCTCCAGAGCAAAGAAAATCCTGCAAATCTCCTGTCAGGAAAGGTCAGGAGTTTGGACAGGTGCTTTGGACAGAGGCAACTGCCCTAGTGGCTCTTAGTTAGCCATCCTGCATCCATGATTTGGAATGCCGATTTTTACAAGCAGATTTTCAGAAACAAGCAAGAGAAAAGAGCCAAATCAATTACAGACACACAGAACCAAACAAAAATCAGTGTTGACAGAGATTTTACCCCAGGTGTGCAGGTCAAACAAAATATTTAATTAGGCAAGCAGAACTAAAAGTGAATTTGCCAGAAAAGACATGCCTCACAAACAAACGTAACTTATGTAGAAACAAGGTGCTCAAATCAGAAAAACCCTTGTCATTACACCAGAAAGAATTTACCGGAAAAGACAAAGAACTGTTATCATCTCAGGAGGGATGTAAGGTCTTTAGCTTACGGTGGCCTTATCCAAATCAGATGCTGAATAAGTGAAGAGCTTCTACTCAAAAGCAGAAGGCTCAGCCTGAGTGAAGACTCTCCAGGGCAGAAAAGGCAAGTCACAGAAGCAGAGAGCTCCGAGGGCTCCAGTGAGGACTGCCGCCAGTTCCAAGGATTGCTGATTTCTTCCAATAGCGGTCCTACTCCAGGTCCTACTTCCAGAAACAACAGAGTTTCTCTCTAAAAGAAAACAGTATTTATTCAGGAACAGTGTCCTGTGCTGGGAATACGTGTGTCATAGTAATGTGCATAGTCAGGGAGGTAAAAGAAGACCAGGGCTTTTGAAGGAGAAATGAAGATTAGAGAATCGTTTTGAGACCATTACCCTTGCCTAAAAAGATCAATAGCAGGGTGACACTAGCCCAAGGCTGGACAGGCAGTTCTGGGCACATGTTGCTGTGGCAGTGTGTTTTGCGTTAAGTTTGCAGGGGCTTTAGTGGAAGGTTATGGTTTTAGGAAAGTCTTTTGTGATAGTTTTTGTTATCAGGAATATGGGATAAACCCTCTCTTTGTAGCCTTTCTCAGCCCTATTGTCATGGATTATTATTTTTTAACACAAGTGACTCCATTTTAGTGCTGACAATTTTCCTGTAAGGATGGAGAGCTAGAGAGAAGCATGATGGAAGAGCTTGCCCAGGGCCATACAGTTCACTTTGGAGGGTGGGAGAGCAGACCCAGGTGATCTGCCTGCCCTACCAGGGCCTTCTGCCCCGCTGTGACGGCAGCTCTTGTGGAAGGGGGTACCCAGTCTTCCTCCATGAGGTGAATTCATCTGCCTTCTCTGTGAGCCTGTGGGTGTACTGGCTTCCCACCCTGGAGGTTCCCAGTCTACCTCTCCATACACAGGCCAGCACTGACTTCTCTCAGCAGGAAGCCCATGCCGCAGCTTTGGGTGGCTGGTCCAGTAGTAGACAAGAAGCTTTTTTTTTTTTTTTTAATTGAGAATAAGCTTGAAACCTATTTTCACTATTAGGAAGATGTCTCCGGAAAATGTTCCTAGAGTGTGAACACTGAACCCGCCTCTTTTCCGCCCCCACTAGATGGCAGCATGCCTCCCCTGGCCTCTGATGCCAGCCTGGAGGTGTAGGTCAGGGAGAGACTTTCCTCCCTCTGTCCTGCATGTGTCCCTGTGGGACAGCAGGGGCAGAGCCTGGTTCTGGCTTCTGGAAGTGAGCCCCCAGATGCAATTTTTATCAACCTAAATAACTAGCAGAGAGAGTCTCTCTAAACAGAAATACTGTTTATTCAGGAACAGGGCATGGCAACAGGAAAACACGTGCCAGAGTAAACTGTGCAAATTTACGGAGGTTAAAAAAAAAAAAAAAAAAAAAACAGAGAAAGGTTTTTAAAGGAAAAACAAGGAGAATGACATAATGGTTTTGAAATCATTATCCTTGGCTACACAGGTCAATACCACATGTTCTGCCAGTCCCAGGTTGTCCTGGCAGTTGCTGGGCCCTGGGAAGCCTGGGTCCTGGTAGCTGAGCCCAGTGGGCGCAGAGCTGGAGCAAAGCCAGCGGACAGACGCAGCCCAGCCCACACCCTCCCCCACAATTCAGGAGGCATGGAAAGGGTGTGGGCTCAGGAGAGAGAAGCTTCCATGTCTGCATGTTATGAATCTCTCCTGAATCCACCACGCTCCCACACAAATGAATGAAAAAACACATAAGTAAAAACTGGAAAACAAAATTACAGACTTAAAAACAAAAACGCAGTCCCCTCTTCAGGCTTACCCATCGTGGTAAACGGTGTCACTGTTCACCCAGTTGTTCTGGCAACACTCAAAGGTCACCTTTGACTCCTCCCAGCCTCCTCGCCACACCCAGTCCACCAGCAAGAACTGTCGCCTCCATGTGCAGAATATATCCTGGATCTCCCCAACCTGGACAGATTCACTGCCCAGGAAATAAAACCCAGCCCCTCCCCAGGGCCCACGAGGCCCTGCCCCTGCCCTGGGTCACTTCTTTCCCTCCTTGACAAGGTCAGTGAGTCACTGCCAGGGGCATTGGCACACGCCACTCTCTCAGCCGCAAGCACTCTTACCTGGGATCTTAGTCCAGCTGGCTCCTGATCTTTTTAATCTCAGCTGAAATGTCACCTCTTCAGAGGGAATGTATTTTTCATGGAAGTTTTCAACAGTAGTAAAATAACAAGGGTTGTGCAATGAACGTGAAGCAGCCATCACCTACTTTCAATAATTCTCAACCTGCCCCAACCTGCTTTCCTTGGTACCCTTACCAGAGTATTTTGAAGCAAACCCCTGGCCTTGCATCATTTCATGTACAAATGTGTCAGTTCCTCTAGACCAGAAATTGTTTCTACAAGATAGAGAAGTCACCCATAATGAAGTGGCTGTCCCTTCCCCCCTGGGCACCGTACCTCCTCTGGTCATGGACATCACAGCCCGTTGCACTCTGTCATCTCTTTTGTCCTGTTTTTGTTTTGTTTTCTGTGTCCCCTGCAATCCCTAAAGGTGAGTCCCTTGAGAGCAGGACTCTGCCTGCCTGTTCCTGTTACACAGCCGGGCACTGCACGGTGCCTGGGTGTGCTGGGTGTTCACAGGGGTCTCTGCAAGAGGAAGGCAGAGCCCACATGCTGGCCACAGGGTCAGCTCTGCATGCCGTGAGCAGGGAGGGGTAGGGACACTGGTCAGACATGTGCATTGACATTCTTCTCATGTCATTTTATTTTAGATGAACAGCCAATTCAGATCAACCAGAATTCCATGACTTGCCCTGGGCCAAAACTAGAAAAACCTGGAGAGTAAGTACCCCTGACAGGAGGCCTTAGTGGGCAAGAGGCCAGGGGGTCAGGGTTGGGCATCGTGAGGTGTACAGAATGTGGATGCTCCCTGCTGGGACAGCAGGTGTCTCCAGCTGGGCAAAGAGCCCCCTCTTCCCCACATCCCTTGTTGGTGGCCCCAAGGTGTTGAGGATCTGTGAGGAGGGAGGATGAGGGAGATGATTGTCTGAGGAATGGTCCCTTCACTCCAGCTTGCCTTTCAGAGTTAAGCCAACAGACTGTAAAAGCCGGAATGGTGACACCAAGCAGACCTCCCTCCCTGGTCACTTAGGAAATGGTCACAGTGGCATGAGACCCCATGCGCGGCCACTCACTGCCTGACCCGCCTCCCCCTTGGTCATCATTGCTGAGTTAATCTGCCAGTGTCTGGGGAGTGACCTCTCGTCACTTGTGCTGTCCGCTGGCCAAGGGCAAGAACTGCATCTCTCCTGGCTGGCTCTCACCACCTGTATTTTTGGTGCTTTAGGAAGTTCTTAATTGAAGTCAGCTTGAACAACGGCGTCTCATTCTTCAAGAGCAATGTCAGCGTCACAGGCACCAAATGTGTGAGTACCAGCGTGGGGCTGGAAACATGTATGAGGACTGCACTAGAAGGAGACACACCCTGGGGAGGGTGGAAAGGGCAGACAGTTCCCAGGCAGTCCCAGAAAGCAGCGTGTGCAGCAAGAACCTGGGGCTACTGCAGTTACCTGGGAGGCTGTCTGCCAGGAGCCAGAGTCCAGGGCCTCTACAGTGTCCAGTTTCTCCACATGGGCGTCCCAGGCCCAGGAGCTCTGGAAGACTCCACGCACTGCCATCAGGTTGTGTGTGCCACAGAACTGGTGCCCCAGCTGCTGATCTGGTCCTAAACCTGCTCATGTCCCTGGCCCCCAAGCCTGCCTCATGGTCACCTGGTGTCATCGCCCAGATGCCTTCAGCCCCCTTTCTGCCTCTCCTCCTTGCTTGGGCCATTAAGCTGTCCCTGTCTCTTCCTCGAGCCCTGCAGTATGTCCCCTCCTGCTGCTAAAGTTGAGGCTCTCAGGCACTCAGACTGGGGCTCAGCTCCAAGATGCCCCTGGGAATGGAGGTGCTGTGCCCCAGGTCCCAGCTCTTCAGAGCTCCACGTCTTTGGGCAGCTTGGCCCAGGGCTGCATAGGCAGGAGGATGTGCTGGAGGGACGGGTGGGAGGCCTGAGCCAACCGCGCCACCTTGTGCCCAGTCTCACTTGTGAGGACGCACCAGTGTTGAGAGTCCTCCCTCTGGGTCTACCCTTGCCAGTCCCTGCTCATCTATGGTCCCTGCTCATCCATGCACAGATCAGCAGGCTGAATGCACACATCCCCATCAGTAATCCACCCACTGACTGCTCGACAGCAACAGGCACATGAGGAGCTGCCCTGGGACTCCCAGCAGCCTTCATGCTTGGCCTCAGTAGTTCCTCTCCTTCAGCCAGCCTGGTTCCCAGCACAGGCTCTCCCTCCTCCCCTCCTCTGCCCTCCCCATCAGCCTTCTCTCTAAGCAGAGTTCTGGACCTGGGGAAGGCTTGGGCAGCCTGTGTTCCCACGGATGCTGCTCAAAGTCCCTTTATTGTGAGGAACACCCAGAGAAGTGCTCCTGTTGCTCACACCCCATGCAAACCTGGTTCTGAGCCAGGAATTCCTCTGAGCTCTGTAAACCTTACAAGTGCCCCCATGGAGGGAGGCTCATTCCCCTTGCACAGGTGTGGAGACTGAGGCTCAGAGCCATGTGTGAATGTGCCCACAGTGCAGAGCCTGGAAGTGGGGAGAGAGGCTGTGGGGGATGGATCCGGGTCTCCTGTCCCCTGCTCCTGCACCTGCACCTCTCTCCACCACAGTACCCCCACCCTAGCCCGTCTTTATACCTGTAGATTTTGTGGTCCTCACAGAAGCCCTGTGCTGCAGGCGAGGTGTGCAGTAAGGGTGGGGTCATCAGACCACAGAAGCTTCTGGGACTTTCTTTGCAGGGTTCTAGGGCAGAGCCTTTCAGCAGGGCCAGAGGAAGTGTCTGTAGCTCTCTGGGGCCCAGCCCTGGCCGCTGGCCCCACTGTGGCATGTGGAGGCGGGGCCAGCTAGGGAGAGCAAGGAGTGGGCAGATGGGCCCCCAAGTGGGAAGAGGCCACCCAGGCCCTCCTAGGCCTGGCATCACTCTCTCCCTTGGGCATGGCTCATGGTGCTCTCTTTCTCCACCAGGGCTTTTTCAGCAACTGGCTGTATTTTCTGCCGCTCCTGCTGCTGCCACTGCTGCTGTGCTGTCTCTGGCTACTGTGCCGCAGGAAGGCAAGTGCTCCCTGCCCACCCAGCCCTGGGGCCCAGGCCCATGCCCGCCCTCTGAGAGACTTAACATGTGACTACCCCATGATCCCACCTACGGGAAGTTTCCTTCAACTCCCGGCTCATCACGTGAGCCTGGGGAGGCACAGACCTGTCCACATGTTCCCAGAGCCTACCTAGCAAGCCTGGGCTTCTGCAGGGCCTCCAGCCTCAGGCTGGCCACAGAGAGCTGGCCTGGGATGCCCTGGACGTGGAGCTGAGCTCTGCCCTGGCTTCCAGAGAAAAGTGACCCCAGAACCCCTGAAACCAGGTCTGCCTCAACAAGCCAGATTTCCAGTAGCCTCAGATGGACAAGTGCCTGGAGGCGGCCTCTGTGTGGAGGGAGGAAGGGAGCGTCCCCCATGAGGTCCTGATGGCCCACATGGAGGACAGTGCTGTAACCCCCCAGCTGTCTGTGCCTTGAGAAACCAGCATGGCTCTCAGCACATGTCTGGTGTCTTCCCCATTCCTCCATCTGTCTTTACTGAGCTCCAGCTTCGCTGGGCCCCATGCTGATCTGGGAAGGGACAGAGATGAAGCAGCCACCGTTCTCCACAGGGAGCTCACAGTCCTGTCTCGTCAGGGCTAAGGGTGAAATGTCCACCCCACAGGTGTGGGAAGGGCCCCTGTAAGGCAGAACAGGAGCCAAAAGCAGACACAGAGCCTGGCACAGGGAGAATGGAAGGGGTGCTGGGAGCTGGGGTGGATGGACCCAGACCAGAGAGCTGCAGACAGAGGACAGAGCAGGGGGAGGAGAGGACAGAGCTCAACCCAGGGAACACGCAGGGATCATCTCTGTCCAGGGAGCTGTGAGCAGAGGAAGCTGGGGACTCGGCCGTGAGTCTGGGAGGTTAGGGAGGGCTCCCGGGGACAGACAGGCTCTCCCTGAAGAAGGGAAGTGGGGTGGCCGCTCACTTCTCCATGTGGCTGTGGGCAGAGAAGGACACCTGTAGGAGCTGGGCCTCTCTAGGGTCCTGGTCCCTGGCCTGGATGACCCCTAGGAACCCCACAGCGACAGTACAGGTGTTCTCCTTGGGTAAGACTGGAGGCTGAGGCCCGGGAGGAGGAGCCTGCTGAATACAACTTCACAGGCTCAGGGTGGCCAGAGTGACACTCCAAAGACAGTGTTCTGTTCTTCTGCTCCAGACCAGGATCCCAGCTGTGCCCAGGGCCAAGGCAGAGCCCAGCCACCCCCATCCAGCCCACATTTGTCTCTTTTGAACATTCTAGACTGTCAAGGAGCCAGCACCTGTGCAGAAGCCAGAAGAGGTAAGTCATGGTTCTGGTCCCGATATTGTCACATCCCACGCAGTCCACTGACCTTCACCAAGAGTACCGTGAAATCTGTGCCTCATAACCTCCACCTGCTTGGACAGAGAATAAGGTGACAGAGGGGCAGAGTGGAGCCTGAAAAGGGCGGGGACTCACAGTGATGTCCCCAGAACACCCTTCCTGCTCCCTGCACCCCTCAACATGAGCCTTGTCACCAATTCACAGCCTGGGGTGGCCAGTTTCAGCAACTGTGATGATCTCTCCTGAATAAGTGGGGCACTTCTGTCAAAACCCCAAGGACCCTTTGTAAGATGCTAAGAATGGACGCGCTCTGGAAAAGGACCTGGCCCCCTCTCCAGGCTCCAGATGTGGGTGTGGCTCCATTTGGCCTCTCTGGATCCCTGTCTGTAGGCAGGGCCGAGGGGCTGGCTGGGGTTAGCTTCTCCGGACTATAGCGCTGAGGGATGGGGGAGTTCTGGCAGGCACTGAGCCAGGAGAGACACCAGCCCAGTGAGCACAGGGACCAGGAGTCCAGGAGCAGATTGTGGCTCACCTGGGTTGGAGAACCCCCGCCAGGGTCCATGGGCAGTGGTGAGCATCTGAGGCATGAGGCCCTGGGCCTGGGATGGGGTGGGAACAGGCCTCCCTGGCCAAGGCTGGCCTCTGTGGTACTGCAGAGTGGGCCTGGGGAGGCTGCATCTGCAACCAGCTGGGTGCGGGCAGTCACCTGCAAATGCTGGGACCACTGCACGGCCCCCAGAGCAGCCTCTTTCAACAAGGACAGAGTTTGTGTGTTTCTCACATGAAGGACCCTCCCCTGTGGTGTGGGTTTCTCTCTGATCTTTCATTCCTCAGACACACATCTGACAGTGGCCAGCACTGTGCTCAGCCAGCACTGTCAATAGACAATTGTCTTTATTTTTTTAGGAACCAGAGCCAGAGAAACCACCACCTTCACCATCAACACCACCAGCTCCGCCCCCGCCTCCACCCCCACCTCCTGGAAACACCTGCCCCACTGTGATTGTTTGTTGCTCTGGGTGCCAAGGAGTGTGCGGGATGAGAGGGATAAAGGTGAGAAGGGCACAGTGAAAAGGGGCTGTGATCCCCAGCTGGGACTGTGGGAGGAGGGGGCAGCTGGGTCCCACTGCAGAGGCCTGGGCCCTGGAGAAAGGCAGGCTCTATGGGGCTGAATTTTGGTCACTTGATGCCAAGAGCAATCAGATGTCCACCTGTGGCCCACCCTAGTGCCCCTGTGGCAGACATGAATGAGGGCTCCTGTCCCCTGCACCACCAGGTCTGTCTCCGCACATCAAACTCCCTCTCTAGAAGGATCCATGTTTCTGTACAGTGGCAGGTTTTGATGTCTGGTCAGCCCCTGGTTCCCACAGGGGTGCCTCAGCTCTGGAAGCGGTTTAATTAGTAAACCAGCTGCCTGCAGGTGCTTAGGTCCTACCAACCTGAGTCTCAAAAGGTCATGCAGGTCAGAAAAGAAAGAAACCACCAGTCCTGGCACGTTCCCCCATCACTGGCACTGCAGGGATGCCAGCGACACCTGCCAGCCCAGGCAGCAGGATCTTCAGGCAGTGAGGAAAAGCTGGCACTGCAGGGATGCCAGCGACACCTGCCAGCCCAGGCAGCAGGATCTTCAGGCAGTGAGGAAAAGCTGGCACTGCAGGGATGCCAGCGACACCTGCCAGCCCAGGCAGCAGGATCTTCAGGCAGTGAGGAAAAGCTGGCACTGAGTGGGCTTGTCGCCTACTGAGATGGGCTCACAGGTGCTTCAGGGAGGGGAGGAGGTGGAGACCGGAACTACCTCCCAAGACCCCTGTGCAGGAGCTCAAGCCCTGGAGCCTACACAGCAGTCACTCTACCTGAGAAAACCTCCTTCACGAGCAGGTCCAAGGCCCATCTTGCTGAGGGGAACCCAGCCGGGCAGCAGCAGGGAGACCTGCACAGGGGTAGAGAGGGTACCTGGGTGGCTGGTGTTGAGGGATAAGGACCCCAGAGTTCCTGCCTGGCCCCTCCCCCAGGGGAAGATGGGAGCTTCCTCCTGGGAGTGTCAGATTCCTCCACAGCCCCTCCACAGCATCTGGGGCAGCCAGGCCTGTCTCTCCCTGGGGTGTGTGGCACAGAGAAGCTGAAACACAGCCTCCAGGGGGAGGAAGTCACCCTCCAGCAGCCTACACTGCCTTGCACTGCACGGCCCTCATCCCATCCCACCAGGGCCCAGAAAGGCCTGACTCCAGCGCCGAGTGGCCAAGGGACTGCCCATGTGGGTCCTGGGCTGCTTTCTGGCCTGTTTTTTCTCTGCCTTCCTCTTCTTTCTTCCCTGGTCTCAGGCAACACTTCCTGAGCAGGGCACGGTCCTCTCGCCTGCCTTCCCCCGTGTGACCCAGGAGCAGGTCTCCTTCTCCCCTCCCTGAGCTCCTGCCCAGGCCCCTTGCCCAGCTCACGCTCCCCTTCAGGACCTCTGCTCGGAACCACAGTCTCCTCCCGCCTTTGGACTTTTCATCTGAATCTGCCCCTGGCTTTTCTGCTTTCTTCACGAAAATACTGTTTTGTTCTAGATTCCAAAACTCTCTATGGCCACAGTGACCATGTCCCCAGCACAGAAGGCTGCTGGGCCCCTGCCCCAGGGGGAGATGGGAGCTTTGTCTGGATGTGCTCCTGAGGGCAGAGCTGTGGGGGACTCAGGGGTCCTGATGCCTTCTGGAGATGGTGCAGGCTACATGGCTTCCTCATCACCATGTTGCTTTTCAGGGCAATCTCAACACCTTTGGTGACCTCTGTCACCCAAACTGCAGCCAGGTGCCATGGATGTGGTGTCAGCACAGGGACCAGGTGAGCTGGGGCACAGGGACACACTTGATGGACAGAAGGCCACTACTTTTCCCCTGACTGCTGTCCTCTGGGATTGTGGCTCAGAGAGCCATGTCAGGTGTCTGCCAAGGAGGATAGCACAAGAAACTCAGAAACGGTGCCCATGAGCCTCCCAGTGTTTCTGGACATGGCACTCATGCACTTCCTTTGTTGGCACCTGGGACCAGGAGTGCTGTTGGGGTGGCGGACAGGGTTGTCAGGCAGCACTGACTGGTTCTCCAGAAGAAGGATTCCTTCCTTGGGTCATTGCCTTGGGACCATGGGGAGGACCAAACTGTTAAGATTTTCTCTTTGTAACTTATTATGAATGAGGACCAATAGTTATTCATGAGGACTCAGTAATGTACGGAGTCCTCCCGGGGGCCAGTTGCTAGCCTAAGCCAGGCTTTCACTGTTTTCATCCTCCCAGCAGCTGCACCAGTCGGTGCTATTATTATCCAGTTTACTGAAGGGGAGTGAAACACTGAGAGATTAAGTAGCACGTCCCTGCTCCCAAGGCCCACTAGTGATAGGGCTGGATGTGGACTGGGCCTGGCTGCTGCCCTTATCCTGCACTGCCCTCCTTTCCCATCAGCACCAAGGGCCTTTCTGCTCAGGCCCTGAGGCCCTGGAGAGCCCGGCTCCTGGCTCAGCCTGGGGCTCATCTGCCTGTGCTTCCCCAGTCCAGTCCTTGGAAGACAATCTTATCCCCAGGGTTTATAGAGAGACCTGCACTGGCCAGACGTCCTGCATCAGGATGGCACAGGCTCTCCGTGGCCAGGTGGCTGCGCACTGAGAAGACCTTGCAGGCTGTGAGCCTCTGGATGCCGCAGATGAGAAATGGGCCAGGAGCCCTGGGAGGTGTGCTGACACCTGGCAGGGCATTGTTGGTGTCAGAGGCAGGCAGGTCTCCTCCAGTCGCTGGGCTCCTGGCTCTGTGCCTCTGCACTGGGCTCTCAATCCCAGTGATGCTTACACAGAAGCCCATCCTCCATCCGAGGTCCCATAGGTCCTTGCACATTGCCACAGCACAGCTTACACAGAACTAGTCCAGCCTTGTGCACTGAACAGGTGAGACTCTCAGGCAGGAGGGACAGAACTTGAGTGTGAAAACGGGCACCTCGAGCAGAGTGTGAAAACGGGCACCTTGAGAGGAGGGAAGGCAAGAGATGTGGGGGTGGGCACAGGAAAGAGCCAGAAATGGCCTTCCTGCCCAGTGTGGTGATGCAGGGATAGAGCAAGAATCTGAAATTGTCCCTTTCCCCAGGGCAGCTCTTTGAGCTAAGGTTTGGGGGAGGGTGGCAGAGTAATTGCATTATGGAGGGAACTTAACCACTGCTCAGGGCTCCGCCAGGCCCTTGTGACTGTCATTACGTGAAGTCTACCCGGTAATTCTTGGAGGAGGAGAGACAATCCCTATTTTACTAATAGCAGAAGAGAGGCTCAGAGTGGCCCAGAAAGCTGCCTGAGGCCACCTCCAGGGCTATCAGAAAGCAACCCAGATCTTCCCTAATTCAAGAAGGCCCATGGCTATGCCTTGTAAACCTGGGCTCCCTTCCAGCTCCTCTGCCACCATCTAATTTTGCCTTGTCCTCCCCAACTGTGATCCTGAAGACCCAACTGAGTGTCTTGTAAGATTTGTGTCGGGCACCCAAGAATTCAGACAGGCTGGCAGGAGTTCCCGGTTCTCCTCTTTAGGCCTTCATTGTGCATGACCCAGGATCTAATGTGAAGCATGAAAGAGGATGGGTGCCCCTTGAGACGCCCTGTAAACCCAGTCCTGAGTGTACAGAGCCTGACACCAGCCAGGCTGCTGGTGAGCTCAGCAGCTTCCTGCTTGGAGACGCTGGGAATGTGACCTTCCTGCCTGAGCCAGGGGCTCCCTGAGTGAGAAGGAGGCCAGAGACTGGAGGAGAGAGTGCATCTCAGTGGGAACCTGCTGGAGACCAGGCTTGGGTGGTTCGGCCCCAGCCAGGCAGGTCAACTGCAGCTGCAGGGCTGTGCAAGCATCAGTGAGACATCCTGCCCAGGCCAGGCGCAGGCTTCTGTCTCTTCACTGCAGAGTGAAGAGGTGACCTGGATGCCTCACTGTCCTCTTCCAGGATCTCCCCTCAGACAGAGACTCACTCAGGCCTCAGCAGAGTAGGGGATCCCAACAGAACCAACACAGGCTCTTTCTCCATCCATGCCCTGGCCTTGTGGGGGCGCTATTTCCAAACTCCTCTTCCTCACTTGGTTTTGCAGGCTGACCTGGGGTATGGATGAGCTCGGGAGGTTGATGAGCCTGTTCAAATGGAGTGTGTGGTTGAATTTAGAGGAGCTGCTGCCTTTTCAAACCTTGTTTAGTTGCTCCTTTCAGCAAATCCAAACATTTTTGCATTTCGGCACATGATGATGCAGGAAATTCTCAAAGGCTCAGTTTATGAAAAACCTCAGCATTTTTATAGCAAAAGCAGTCAGTCTTGTTTACTTTCAATTTGTAAAATTGAGTGTATCTCTCTGCTCCATCATCTTCAGTTCTCTGAATAAATTTTTTACTAGTGTCCCCTTCTAGGCCATCCCCCTACTCACTCACACAAAATGAAGCAGCAAGACTCTAAGGCTCTTGACCCAAACTCTCCCTCCCATCCGTGCTGAGGATTCTCCTTCGCCTTATCCTGTGGATGCTCATTACGTTCATGGGAAACAGTATTGCTAGATCCATCAGGAAAGAGAGGCTAATAATGTGAAACTTACTCTCTCTCAGCAAATATAGTGCCCACGATGACATAACAGCCTTTCCAGTGAGCTTAACTGTGTGCACAGCACAGCAGGAGGCCCTTTAGAAGCTGGATGTGATTTCATTCTCACAACACCCAGGAGGGCTCATAGCTGCCTTCACATAGATGTTAACGTGGGCCAGACACTGTTGCAAGTGCATTCCACAAACTAATATATGCCAACAGCTCTAATGTGGGGAGGATGCTAGAGGCCCTGCACAGTGAGGTAACCCACCCAGGGTCACACAGCCAGGAAGCAATAGGACCCACATCCAACAGCCTGACTCTGGGTCCTTACTGTGTGCACGGTCACCTGTCTGGCCTGCAAGGTAGTCACTACTGTCTGCATTTCACAGCTGTGGACACTGAGGCTCTGATGTTTAGCGACAGGCTCAGCTTGGCAGGGTTGGTGAGTGGTAGAGCCAGGCTATGAACTGAGTCAGGCTCCACCCTGTGTCCTGTGCATCTCTCTATGGTGTAAAATGTCACACAGCAGGTGCTCACGTAACGTCATTTCACTCAACGTCATCTGAACACTGAGTGAGAAATGATGATGCTGATGAGAAAACGAACCCATTCCCGGCTGAGGCCACCGTCTGTGTGGAGTCACCACGTTCTTCCCATGTGCGTGTGGAATTTTTCTGGGTACTTCAGCTTCGCTTACACCCCAGAGATGTGCACATCAGGTGGATTGGGCATTTGTGGGCCCAGTGTGAGTGGGTGTGGGTGTGTGTGAGTGCACGCTGCATCGGCATGACGCCCTGTCCAGGGTTAGCTCCCACCTTGCACCCTGAGCTGCCGGGATAGGCTCCAGCCTCCTGCCTCCCTGAGCTGGAATAACTGAGTAATTAATTATGTTATTTTCTTTTATTAACTTTTCTTAAGGGTGTGTATAGCTCACATTTATTTCAATGTTTAATATTAGAAGCATTTTGGTTTTTATTTAGAAGTCCAGTGATGTCTTCATGACTAGATATTCACCATAGGAACTTCAATTATTTGTATCAATTAATCTATGGCCAAATTAGTTTTCTTGTACACTGTTTCAATGGAAATTATGATTTCCAAGAAACTATCAACGACTTTTAAAGAGGATTTACTGAAATTTACACATGATACATTTGTGAATATTAATATGTTGACTTCACACCGTCACTTGCATGCCTTCTTCTAAATTCACACTGACGTTTGCTGGGAGAGTGGTTCTGGGTAACGGTTGGAGCTTAATGCAGACGGGCCTTAGGATGCATTCATGGTCATGGAGCTCCTGAGTTCTCCTCCTGACCACGTGGCCATGGAGGGTGCTGGACCAAGGGACAGGTGTGGCAAAGCCAGGCTGGCTGCGGCCTCCACCTGTCTAGGAATCCCAGCTTGCAACAGTCCTTGAAACCAGTGCTTTTTGGGAACATTTCAGATCATAACTTCTGTATTGCAATGACAGCAAGCTTCCCTTTGACTCCTCAACACCACCCCTCCACCCCAACACACACACAGACACACACACTCCTGTGACATAATCAGGAAAACCAGAGATTGAGCGAAAACTCTAAAGCACTGGCAATTAAGGTTTCAGATTAATTGTTTGCCAATGACTTCAGGAAATGTCCCTTCATCTTAGAGTGGTTGAGCTGATGTGAGAAATAATTAGTTGCTGGCTTAGATGTCTGCAGTCAGTAGAGAGACAGTGAGGAAGGAGACCGCCTCAAACTCCAGGAACCTCCTCAGTACCTTACACTTGTCCAAAGATTCGGGGGCAGGCAGCTGGAGGTCTCCTCTACTGTGAGGCGCCCCAGCCCTGCTCCTCTCCATCACTGCAGTGCAGACCCAGACCTCAGAGCTCCCTGTAGCTCCTGGGACAGGCTGGGGCAGAGGAGAGCAGGTGGCCTCAGTATTAGTGCCCTGGGTCCTGCTCAGGAGGAAATCAAAGGGATCCCTCAGAAGTGGGCAAATGCTAGGTCTGGAGTGACTGTGGTAAATAATTACAGGAATGTTTTGCAATAAGTAAGTAGAAACAAAGGAGGTGGAAATAAACATGACAGATTCCTTTCTCTTTACAACAGCAACAAAAAACCAAATACCCATGTATAACTGCAACAATGTGCTGACCCGTGAAACTATAAAACTTTAGTTATTAGAATAAGAGAAATTTGAAAATATGAAAATCTAGAGCACAGTGTCAACTGTTCCCAGAGGAATTTCGGAGCATAATATGCTATTTTAGTGAAAATTGTAATGAAACGTTTTTAGGGAATTTGATAAAAATGACAAGTTCACTGTGAGTAGAGACGGAAAAAAGGAAGGAACAGGGGCTGGGATCACCCCTGTTCTCACCCAGCACTGGTGTCAGGGTTGATGGAAATCAGGGAGAAACGAGTGGAAAGCAGTCAGCAGGCCCCCGGTACCCTGGGGTGCCATAGCCAACACTTCCTCCTCCCACAAAAACAAACAGAGACAGCCCCTCTCAGCATCACCACGGATCCCTCAGGCTGGTGGGCAGTGCCAGGAGGAGGCGCCATCTTCTGGGAGTGGCATTATCCTTTCTGGTTCCTGCCATGCCTAACCATGCAGAAGAGGGTTTGAGCACAATGGCCTTGGCTGCCCCCAGGGATTGCTCAGAGGAAAGGGGGTATGGGGCTGAGGCCTGAGTGGACAGAGGAAATAACGGGCCAGAAGCTAAGATCTTGCCTAGGCCTTCTAATCTGAGTGGTGTCCAGGAGCAGTGAGGTGGGGCTTCGAGCCCCCCTGACAGAGCCACCTCTGTGAGGCCTGGATTGTGGTCCAGAACGTCCAAATGGAGTAACCTGGGTCCAGTCAGCTTGTGACCAGCAGGACAGTGGTGGGTGTAATACACCACTGAGCCCTCTTGATCCCCAAAGAAAGGTGGAGAAATCATTCCTGTGCTTCCAGGCGGAGCTCTGGGCCAAGCCCATAGACTCTCTGGTCGCTCTTGCTCTGGGTATGGCCTTGAGTTTGGTGTGTGACCTGGGACAGACAGGATGAGGGTGCTGTGATGTGAAGGAACCCCAACTCTGTGCCACAAAGAGAGAGAGAAGCTGTCTGCCGAAAAAGAAAGAGACTCAGCTCTAGTGCTCTGGGGCTTTGGGACCAGGGTTCTCCCCTTCAAGGAAGGCAGCTTGTCAGAGGCAGCATCAGAGCTGAGGTTGAGGTTCAGGATGGCTAGGCTTGGGTGTGCAACATGGAGAGGGGAGGAGCAGAGCTCTCAAGGCAGAAATTGAGGGAGGGTGCCAGGGCACAGCCAGCTCTTCTAGTAGCAGGGCTGTGACTGCCTGAAAGCAGGGTGTGTGGAGCCCAGGAGCCTGGCGGGGGATGGTCTGGCATGCAGCCTGGGTGCAGGGACTAGGTCCTGCCAGCAGTGCAGAACACCTCTGGAGGGTGTGAGCTGGGAGGGAAGATAGTCCCTGGGAGGACTGGATTTGGGGATGGGCGGAGCCAGGGAGAGCAGGCGGACACACTTGGGTTATACTAAGAAGGAAGCCTGAAGCCCTGAACAGGTAGCAGGAGCCCAGTCAGGCACGGAGGAGGGTGGACAGGCAACTGCAGACACAGGCTCAGGACAGGGTCTGAGGGGGCACAAGGGGAAGGTGAGCATCGTCTTGGATGTGGACCAGCAGGGCAGGGGCAGGAGCGGGCAGACCCTAGGGTAGGGCCTAGAGGGAAGAAAGGCCCCTCTCAGGAAGAGAGAGACCATCTCTGTAAGGGAATCCAGCATTTGGGGCATTTGTCACTCACATGCCCAAGGGGAGACTTTATGTGTGAATGGCAGGTTTAAGCAAGCTCAAAGTCTGCATGCTCTATGGAGCACCTGTGAGGATTAGAGGGTTTCCTGGGGACCATCAGGCTAAGACTGGCTTGGCAGGGGACCCCTGGGATTCCAGGTAGCCTAGGAAGGGTAGCATTGAGTAGAGAAGGACCTGAACAGGTCTCATGTCAGGGAAGCCACAGGCACTGGTGGGGTGCTGCCCCTGCTGTGGACTGTGAGTGTGATCAGCCCACATCACAGATGAGGAGGTCGAGGCAAAGTGGCACGTCCACGGGCATCCTGGGAGCCTGCTGCAGCTCGCCAGCCACAGATGCTGAAGGGGAAGCAATTACAGTCTTCATGCATGCAGAGCAGGGACAGGCACATCTACAAGGACACAGCAATTCCCACAACAGTCTCAACCTTCTACCAGGACATGACAGGAAAGGCCAAGCAGAGTGGTTACTTTAGCTGAGAGCATGGATAAGGTGTTTCCTGGAGGAGGCCACTCTAGAACTGAGTCTGAAAATGTGAGTGGCAGTTCACTGGGTTAGGAAGAGCGTTCTAGAAACAGAGGACAGCTATGCAACTTGCAATGGGAGAGCTGAGAGGCTCTGAGAAAGACTGTTGTCTAATTGGCTGCCTGCTAAGCCCCCAAGAGAACAGCCTGGGGGAAACATAACAACTCTCCTTGAAAAGGCCAGGCAGGCTCTCAGTTTGCTTTCCTGCTTACAAGATGGCTTCTGAAGCTCCAGCCATCACACTCCAGGCAGAGAGAAGAAGGAAAAAGGGAAAGCAGCCTTTTTTAAAGCACTGCCCAACAATTCCTATTAATATTCCATTTGCCAGAACACATTCACATGGCCATGTTGCTCAGCAAGGGAGACTGGGAAAAGGTCATTTTACAGCTGGACACAGTGCCTCTCTCTTTTTTTTCTTTTAAGTTCTGGGATACCGGTGCAGGTTTGTTATGTAGGTAAACATTTGGGATACAAGTGCAGGATGTGAAGGTTTGTTACGTAGGTAAACGTGGGATACAAGCGCAGGACGTGCAGGTTTGTTACTTACGTAGGTAAACGTGGGATACAAGCGCAGGACGTGCAGGTTTGTTACTTACGTAGGTAAACGTGGGATACGAGCGCAGGACGTGCAGGTTTGTTACGTAGGTAAACATGGGATACAAGTGCAGGACGTGCAGGTTTGTTACGTAGGTAAACGTGGGATACGAGCGCAGGACATGCAGGTTTGTTACTTACATAGGTAAACGTGGGATACAAGCGCAGGACGTGCAGGTTTGTTACGTAGGTAAACGTGGGATACAAGTGCAGGACGTGCAGGTTTGTTACTTACGTAGGTAAACATGTGGGATACAAATGCAGGACGTGCAGGTTTGTTACATAGGTAAACATGTGGGATACAAATGCAGGACGTGCAGGTTTGTTACGTAGGTAAACATGTGCATGGTGGTTTGTTGCACCACACTCTCTCTTAACGAAAGCAGGCCTCGTTAGTAAGGAAGACAGGAAGAATGGGCTTGGGGTGACCAATGCGTGTTTGGTGTTGCTGGGCCCATTTGAGAGATGGGAAAGCCATTCCCAAGAGGCTGAGTGACGTGCCTGAGGTCGGAGGCTAGATTGAACCCCAGTCTCTTCGACCTTACTTAGAGTGACCCTGAGGGCCTTTTAGAAAGGCCCCAATCAAGTCTTCAGACTTGATCGGATCATGGGCCTGAGAAGGCAGCATACAGAAAGGCATCGCAGATAGAGAGAAGACAGTGACTGTGTGGCTTGCAGCTGTGTGGGTGGGGGACTGGCTACTCTGGTGTGTGCCCAAGATGAAAGCAAAGTGGCTGCTTCTGCAAGACAGAGTTTGCTGTTCCTGTGGGCCTGGATCATCCTCTTCCCAAACCAAGGAAACTGTGGAGCTGCTGCCTTTGCAGCTCATCACCCACCCAAGGGTCCCTGGAGCCAGCCTTGAGGGCATGGTGTGCGCTCATGCCTTCCACATGCTGACTAGAGCCTTCTGGGCCATGCTGGGGTGCAGAGGGAACTGGGGCCTCCTCCTGGCTGCCAGGGGGAAACAAGTTCAACTCCAGGGCTGAGGGAGTCCAGTCAGAGACCCAGGGCTGCCTGAAGAGGCAGGGTGGACTTTTACCGCTTGAGCTGAGTCTGAAAGGAGTCATCCAGGCTGGAGGCAGCACACGGGGAGAGTAGGAGCACAGCAAGGCCCATCCTGTGGGTCCCGATGGGTCCTTGCCCCCTGCCTTGAGCCAGGCACCTGCAGCCTTCTGAGCCCAATTCCAATGCCATCATGGTAACCTTCTCTCTCTTCTCTTCCCCACAGGGGAGGTGCCTCAGCTTAGCCCTTGCACAGTCCCAATGCACACAGGCTCCCTGCTGCCCGGAGATCTGCTTTCCATTCAGCCAGGAATGCCTTCCACCACCACAGGCTCCCTACAGCCCAAAGATCTGTCTGAGACACAGCCAGGAATGCCTCGCCCTCAAACAGGCTCCCTGCAGTCCAAGGATGTGCCTGAGACACAGCGGGGAGTACTTTTCCCAAACACAAACTCTGTGCAAACCAAAGAGCTGCCTTCAACCCAGCCGGAAGTGCCTCCCCCTCATTTGCTCCTCCAGGTGTGGCCACCTCCCTGCTAGGTGCTCCAGGACCCGCTCCAGGACCCCCTCCAGGATGCTGCCGCTGCTCCCCCCACTGTTCGGGCACACTGCACAACCTGCTTTGTCTCTCCCTCCCTCAGAGCCCAACTTCTAAGGCACCAAATACCCAAGATTAACAAGCCTTTGTTGCTGGACTGGAAATATACATCAAGTCTTCGTTTGTCAGTCAAAGGAGTTGAATTCTTGCTGATCAACCAAGAGTTTGTCACCAGGAAGCTTATCCTCTGAGTGAGCTGGATTTATACTGCACCTGATGGGACACAGCACCCTGGTGCAGTGGGGATTCCAGGCATGGATGCATTCCACTCCCAACAGCCCTGACTTCATCTGTCACCAAGGGGTGGGACACATGAGGTGTAAGGCCAAATTCTCTGTTTAAAAAGCCCAAAAACTCTTTTTCTTTTTTTTTGAGACAGAGTCTTGCTCTGTCACTCAGGATGGAGTGCAGTAGCACAATCTCAGCTCACTGCAACCTCTGCCTCCTGGGTTCATGTGATTCTCCTGCCTCAGCCTCCTGAGTAGCTGGGACGAGAGGCACATGCTAGCACTCCCAGCTAATTTTTTTAAAAAATATTTTTAGGAGAGACGGGGTATCACTGTATTAGCCACAATGCTCTCCATCTCTTGACCTTATAATCTGCCTACCTCGGCCTCCCAAAGTTCTGGGATTACAGGCATGAGCCATCACGCCCAGCCCCAAAAAGTCTTTGAAATATGAATTCAATGCTGTGTCTTCTTCCCTAGCTTTTCTTTTCCTTTTTTTTTTTTTTTTTTTTTTTGAGACAGAGTCTTGCTCTGTCACCCAGACTGGAGTGCAATGATGCCATCTTGGCTTACTGCTACCTCTGCCTCCTGGATTCAAGTGATTCTCCCACGTCAGCCTCCAGAGTAGTTGGGATTATAGGTGCCTGCCACAATGCCAGCTAATTTTTGTATTTTTAGTAGAAATGGGGTTTCACCATGCTAGTCAGGCTGGTCTTGAACCTCAGGTCATCCACCCACCTACCCACCTAGGCCTCTTAAAGTGTTGGGATTACAGGCATGAGCCACTGTGCTCAGCCCCTCCATAGCTTTTTGAAAGGAAAAATACTTGCATATCTCATTACCTATACTCGTCTTTTTTACCCTGGTTTCCATTTTTTGGCTATTCAAATTCTGAATGTGTCCCAGAAGGAGGTGAGACCCTCTCTGGAAAGGTGAATTATCTTCCCAGATTCCCCACAGTGTCCCCAAGGCCAGGCAAATTTCAGGGAATCCTCCTCATCTCACTAGAAAAGACAGACTTCCCTCAGTCATTTGTCCCCATAGGAGGAGCCACAGCCTCAACAGAGATGAGTGTCAACAGGCAGTGTCCTACTGCCCAGCGTGTGAGCGTGGGGGCTGCATGACCGCCCAAGGTGCCACCCATACAGGCCATGGACACCCTACATGGGACCCCTGAGAACATCAGGAGGAGACCCCTAGGGGGCTATGGCTGAGGTTGTCCAGGCATCCCTAATCCATCTTGAGAGTAAATAAACAGCTCTCCACTTGGCCATATACTGAAATGCAGTATTTGTGTTTTTCCATAGAAATTCTGAAAGACAAGTACAAGTTAAAAATATACCAGGTTTGGATTTTAAACAGTGTTTACTAATTTGACAGTGAAAACACACTGTACCCCCTCCCATTTTTCTTTTCTTTTTATTTTTTTTTAATTGAGACGGAGTTTCGCTCTTGTTACCCAGGCTGGAGTGCAATTGCACGATCTTGGCTCACCACAACCTCTGCCTCCTGGGTTCAGGCAATTCTCCTCCCTCAGCCTCCTGAGTAGCTGGGATTACAGGCACGCACCACCATGCCCAGCTAATTTGTTGTATTTTTAGTAGAGACGGGGTTTCACCATGTTGACCAGGATGGTCTCGATCCCTTGACACATTTTTCTTTTTTGAGGTTTCAATGGAAGGGCTTGTGTTTGTGTGTAGGGCTTTGGGAGCTTTCTGTAGGTCGTATGACTTTGACCTTCAGTGCCTTCATCCTGGGGAGTTACTCTTTCTCCCCCTTCTCTGTCATGCACCCTCCTGTCCTGCTCTTCCTGGTCTCTGCACCTGGGTCCTGCCAGCTGCCATGATGGGAAGTGAGCCTCCCCTGCCCTTCCCCAGCCTCTCCCCTGTGTCGGCACATCTCTCTCCCAAGCTGGTTATGAGAGGCTTTTCCAGGCACACAATGCCCTCCATGAGGCATCCAGAAAAATAAGCCAGGTCAATGCTGAGGAAATGGAAGAGGGCGCAAGAGCCCCTGGGGGTGGATGGGACTCAGTCATTTGTTTTTTCCCCATGTGGAGGCTCATTTCCTGAGCAATCGTGGGTGCTCAAGAGAACATCCCGCCCCTCCACACTTCACTTCTCAACATTCTTCCTGGAATGGGATGCCTGGCTTCATCAATTTTTTTGTCTTGCGTTGTTTTTTTAGAGAGTGTTTCACAAAACAAAACACCTCTATAAATACAGAGATTTTCACAAAGAATTGAGTGTTCTCACCTCATTGCTGGACAGGTGCAGATATTTATGACAAGGGCACCAGGTGCATGGCCTGAGTGTGGCCCAACAAGGCAGGGTCCAGAGAGATGGGTTGCATGCCCTTGCAGTTGTGGGAAGGGACAGACAGCCAGACAGTGCACCCTCTGGCTCTAGACTGCCTGGTGAGCTGCCTGATGCCTACAGCCATATATGAATGTGCCCAGAGAAGCCAAGGCAACCTTACAAGGTGCCTGGGACTGTGTATCTCTCAAGACTCAGGGAGAAAATGTTCATTGTACTCATGACACCAGGAAAAGTGTGGGGAAGCTTTCATTAGGCAGAAAGGGAGTTGAAACAACATGAATGTGTGGAGAGATTTTATGTCTTCTGTGTTACCCACATGGAAACATGAAGATGTTGCTTCCCATCCCTGCAACTCTGAGACCCCTATAGGATGAAATGTATGTGTAATTTCATGAAGAACTTTATGAGCTCCTGGTGAAATCAACATACCTGTTTGATAATGGGGATTAAGAGCCTTTGGAGTTTAGCCCATATGAACTCAAGCTAAGACCTGTCATCCTTCCTCATCCCTCAAGAGAGGAGGTCATAGATTAAGAAGGTGAGCTCAGAAGACATTAGAGGGGACCCTCCCAGGCTTTCTGTGGTGAGCAGTGACAGCAGGGACAGGCAGAGGGAATTTGCCAGCCATGCTTCCATGGGCCACTCCTGCCCTGCCTCCTCCTCTCCAGATGGGTTGATCCCTGGGTTTGGCATCAATCAGGGGTTCCTCACCCTAGGGAAGGGAGAAAAGGGGCACAGCCCTTGGTCACACAAGTGGGATGAGTTGCAGGTGGGCTGACTTTTTAAATTTTAGATTCAGGGGGATCATGTGCATGATTGTGACATGGGTATATTGTGTACTGGTGGAGATTGGGCTTCTAATGTAGCCATCACCCAGATGCTGAATGCTGTTTCCAATAGATAGTCTTTTAACTCTCATCCCCTTCCCACCCTCTCCCCTTTTGGAGTCCCCAGTGCCTCTTATTTCTATTCGTACGTCCATGTGTACCCATTGTTTAGTTCCCACTTATAAGCGGGAACCTGCGGTGTTTGATTTTCTGTTTCTGAGTTAGTTCACTTAGAATAATGGCCTCCACCTCCATCATGTTGCTGCAAAGAACATGATTTCATTTTTTGGGCTGCATAATAAATAAAATGTGGTATCTGTGTATATAAATGTGCAAATAAAATGTGGCATCTTTATGTGTCTGTGTGTGTAGATCCCACATCTCCAGCATCTCCTATTTCCATCGGTATGTCCATGTGTACGTATTGTTTAGTTCCCACTTATAAGGGAGAACATGCAGTGTTTGATTTTCTGTTTCTGAGTTAGTTCGCTTAGGATAATGGCCTCCACCTCCATCATGTTGCTGCAAAGAACATGATTTCATTTTTTATGTCTGAATAATATTCCATAGTGTATACATACACCACATTTTATTTATCTGGTTAACCATTGATGGACACTTAGATTGGTTCCATGACTCTGCTATTGTGAATAGTGCTGAGATAAATGGATGAGTACAGGTGTCTTTTTTATAGAATGATTTCTTTTCCTTTAGATAGATACCTGGTGGTTGGATTACTGAGTAACATGATAATTCTATTTTCAGTTCCTTGAGAAATCTCCATGCTGATTTCCATGGATGTTGAATTAATTGACATTCCCACCATCAGGGTATGAACATTTCTGCTTCTCTACATCCACAACGTCTGTTGTTTTTTAACTTTTTAAAAATAGCCATTCTGACTGGTGTAAGATGATATCTCAGAGTGGAGTTCATTTGTCTTTCTCTAATAATTAGTGGTGTTGAGAACTTTTTCATGTGTTTGCTGCTTATGTTTCTTCTTTTGAGAAATGCCTGTTTATACCTTTACTCAGTTTTTAATGGAGCTGCTTGCTATTTCTGTATAGTTGTTTGACATTCTTATATATTCTGACTATTAGTCCTTTGTTGGAAGCATAATTTGCAAATATTTTCTCCCATTCTGTAAATTGCAAGTATATTCTGAGTTTCTCATATTTTGAAGTCTACCTCTCTAGCCAGATTAAGAAATTTTTCCTGACTTATTCCTCCATATAAGTTTTCCAGTTTGCTTACTTTTTCTTCTCTCTCAGGAATGCCTATAGGTTATAGGGTTGGTGAATTTACATAATCCCATGTTGCTTTGTTCTTGTTTAAAATTCTTTTTATTTTTGCCAGACTATGTTCATTCAAAAGACCATTCTTCAAGATCTGAAAGTTTCTTCTTCTGCTTGGACTGTTAAAGCTTTTAACTGTATTTTGAAATTCCTTAAGTATATTTTTTATTTCCAGAAGTTCCTGTATTTTTTTTAAAGGTATTTATCTCTTCCTTCATTTCCTGGATTGTTTTCATGGTTACTTTGTGTTAGTTTTCAGCTTTCACTTGGCTCTCATTGACCTTCCCTGGATTCTATACTTTTAAGTCTTTATCATAAGTTTTGAGTTTTCATGTTGGTTGGGGCTTGCTTATTGCTAGAGAGCTAGTGTGATTATTTGATATGGTCACAATATTCAGATCTTTCATGGTGCCCGGATTTTAACACCGGTTCCTTCTCAACGGAAGATGATACTTCTTACTTTTGCATTTATTTTCATTTATGTGGGGTATTTGCTCTGTTATCCCCCACACCGTGTGGGTGTCACTGCAGAGTCTATTGGTAGGTAGGGGTTCTTGCTTTTCTCCTGCAGCCCTGTGCACTTTTTAGTGGGCTGTGCAGTTCAACCTGCAGGCCAGTAGGTGGCACCCACAAATAAGAGCTGGCTGTGGCATAAACAGATGGGTGTGTACTTGACCTTTGCTCACTGAGGTGCTCCTCTCTATTGTTTCAGGTGATGGGCTGGACAGTGGAGTTCAACCTGCAGGCCAGTAGGTGGCACCCACAAATAAGAGCTGGCTGTGGCATAAACAGATGGGTGTGT